GCCCTCCCTGCCCCATTCCCGCAGCTCCCTCCCCATTCCTACAGCTCCCTGCCCCATTCCCGCAGCTCTCTGCCTTCCTTGCAACAGGACCGACTCGCGCTTTGAGCCCTCGGACTCACTGTAGTGAGCTTTTGTCGGCTTTTCCGTATTTGCTTAGACTCACCAGGCGGGCCTAGGAGTAAGCTCTAACCCATCGTGAAATGTTTGTTTTGTTTGGTTTCTTTTCCCCTCCATTGGCTTTACACCGCCAGTGTTTGTACGTAGCACTTCCGAGTTTGAGGTCTGTAAATGATAAGGCTTAACTGTCATTTGCGCATATGATTTATTTGTTTTGTTGTTGAAGGTCAGGTTAGCTTGAGAAAATGATGTTTGTTGGACAAATGTAATTTATTTGCCTTTAAGTGAATCATCTGAGGGCAGTTGTTGGAGATAAAGCTGATTACTGTGACACCCAGACAGGTCTTTGAAAATACCCTTTTGCTTAAAGAGGACTGGCCACTTACTTAACAGAGTAATGTGAAAATTTCTTCCTGCATTTGAAAATTGACAAAATCGGGGTACTAATACCGGAAATTTGTTTTTCAAGATGTATTTTTCACAATGCAAGATATTCTGCTTGCTGTTGATATAAGGTGACAGAACTCCTTAGCTGTGAGGACTACGCAGTACTCCACAAGCCTCAGTCACAGAATCAGAATGGTTGGGGTTGGAAGGGACACCTGGAGATCACCTAGTCCAACCCCACTCCTAAAGCAGGCTCACCTAGAGTAGGTTGCACAGAATCAGAGCCAGGCAGGTTTTGAGTATCTCCAGAGAAGGAGACTCCACAAGCTCTGCAGTCAGCTTGTTCCAGTGCTCTGCCATGCTCAAAGTTTTCCCCCCATATTCAGATGGAACTTTGTGTTTCAGTTTGTGCCTGTTGCCCATTGTTTTGTCACTGGGTATCACTGGAAAGAGTCATGCAAGATGAGAATGTTACAAATTCTAAGAGTTCTAAAATAGCTTGCAAAATAATTAAAGTATTTTTGTTGCTTCTTCTCCATGTCCACTTTCTGGTGGCTCTTTGTATATACAACATTCTATTTCAAAGCATGTTATATGCATTTTATTAATGGCAACAGCACAAGATCTTGGATGTTTTGCTCCTGATCAGTTCAAGTGTTCCTGGCTGTGATGTTGACTGATCTTCATTTTTGATAACTGTATTTTTAATAAATTGCTGGTCACCCTTTCCCCTACTGAAGAATGGATATATAGACATATAGACAGACAATTCTGTTTATCATCTCTTTTCTTCTTGTATCTTACTAAAGGTCTTGCAGGTCTTCAGAGTCCTAAAGTAATGAATCCCTCCCTGTTGACATGACTGGTGATATCACGAGCAGTGATAGTGGCTGAAGAATGGCTTATTTGTCAGAGCTGCTGAGCTAGATGAATTGGATATACAAGTGGGGAATACTGGAGGAAGTTTCCAGAGGGAGCATTATTTCCACTGTTGGTGATGGGTGTGGATAATGAGGGAATAACTAATGTGACTTGCCCTGGATGTGCCATATCTTTCTTTGTGTGTGAAAACTCTGTTCTTGCACATAGTGCACTCTACAGACCATACTGAATGGGAAGATGCATGATCTGAGAGCTCTAGGCTCAACTCTTATTCTGTCTGCAAAGGGAAAACTTTCTATGATATGCCACCCTTGAAAGTTTCTGCCTTGACCCAAAAGGGAAAGGTTCTGGAGGGAATCGGAAGGGTTAATTTGGCAGACTTGATAGTGAGTGGTAAAAGAGAATAAATAGGTGTTCAGTAAACAAGTTGGACTTGATTGTCTTAAAGGTCTTTTCCCACCTAAATGACTCTATGATTCTAAGTATTGGCTTGTTATCAGCAGGATTGAATTAACTTGTCTCAAAATGGTTTTGGCCACATAAATAGTGCTTTTGCTTTCCTGAAGTTTGCAGCTGTTTATAGTTGTTTAATAAAACTACTTGGCAGTTCCAAAGTGAGAAGGCAAAATTTCTGAGTTCATCTAGCTCATTGAAGTGGAAAATACAATTACCAGCTTGAGTTACTGGTAGATCAGAAAGGTGGGATTAAGAATGTGTTGACTCACCTGCAAGTGGTATGGAGTTGTAGTGAAAGTTGGTTGCAGAACATGGGAGTGACCTAGAGAGAGAGATGAGTCAGCAGTGTGTTATGAGGACTTCAGTGATGATGTCTATACAGTCAGTGATAAATTAGCTTCCTAAGTCACTTGAAAACTTTGCAACATCAGGGAATACCCAGAAGATGTGCATAATTTAAGCTTTTATTTTGGATTGTGTTAGAATGAGTGTCTTGGTACCGTGATCTGGCTTATTACATATTGGTTGGGACTGACTGCTCCTCCTACAATATACAGCTTTTTTTTCTTGGGGGTGTGTGTCCTCCATCCCCCCTCCCCCATCTGTTTTCCCAAGGCTGTGAGGAACAGGAGTAGGTAAATTGAATGCAAAGTATTCAGACTTGAGTGACTGTATTAATCTGTTGGTATTTGTTCTCCTCAAACTTTGAAATATTTGGCAGTCTTAGGAAATTGGAACAGGGCTAGTGTTTGCCTTCAGACTCTCAGGTGAACTACAAGCTGTAAATTAATTCTCCATTCTGAGGATATCACTGCTGATAGATACTTGCTGGTGTCGCTGGGATAGCCTGGATTTTCATCTATGTGTACATGAGTTCTGATTAACACATCTCTTATGTCTCTCTTGTACTTGATAGTCACTTGAAATAATTACAAGATGAGCTAACTGTACAGTCCTGTGACTCCACCTGTTCTGTGTCTGACTCATAGGTAATCTGGAAATCTGCTTTGAACTTCTGCTGAAGAGATGTGGGATGGAGAAATACAGCTTTTCAAGTAGAGCTTTGCAAATCTGCTCCTGGCTGTTAGCATGTTGTGGTTTGGTTTGTTTTTTTTTTTAAGTATACCAAAATTGAATAGTTACCCTCATAAAAATGATTTTTTGAGTGATAAAGCCACCTTTGGGTTCTTTATGCAAATCACACCTGATCAGAAATAATAAAAAGCTATGACTAAAACTGTGGTAGTTTCTCAAGGTAATTTTATATGAGAAGAGTAATCAGGAATGTTTGACTGTAAGTTACTTTTGGATTTCCTGCCTTTGTAGTCAGTATTTTAGCTTGCTTTGTTCCTCAACTGCAGTAGGAAAAAATAATTAATAATCGCTGGTTTTATGTCAGGGCAGCAGATTGTTTGCCATGCGAAGAAAAAAAATCGGCTTTGACACAATCTGTTTCTCATAGTGTGGATAATCTGTTTCTTTTAGGCAAATCCTTGGAATTACCATTTATTTGATGCTTTCTGTAGAGTGAGATTTTTCTTACCTTTGTTTGTCTCAACACCAAATGCCAAAAGATACTAAAATACCAGTAATGTTATTGTCACATTTTTGTATTTCCTTGGTTTGGCAAGTATTTATTTTGCTTAGTCTTGAGTTCAGCAAAAGGCCAGCAGGAGGAGCTTTCCATTTCCAGAAAGGAAGGGAAGATTTGAACTGTAATTTTGCAAATAGTTAAAGATGAGTGGCTAGGATGTTTGTCTCAAGTTCTTGCAAAGAGATAACAACACCTATAACTTTGTTGACTGCATGTATGTGTGTGAGGTGGAAACTAGACATTGAAATTTGAGGGAGGTGGAGATACTGAGATCGGAGGGAAAAAAAGAGTTCAGGGCTAAAAAATGTGAAGTTACACGTTTGAGAACAAACAATCGAATGCACAAATGCAGGTTGTGGGGCGTGCAATTAAGTAGGAGACCATAGGAAGAAAATGTGTGGGTTATTTTGGATCTGAAGTTGAATACAAGCCAACATATGCCACACAAAAGGCATTATGCTGTAATGAGGTGTTGGATTTTAACTTGCAAGACAGAGAAATGGAATAAAAGAGGACCCACCTAAACCTTTATTTTTCAGTTACTGTGTAGATCCTGGCATTTCCTTAGTCTTTGGTGTGGTGGTGGCAATTTAAATGTCTCTGTTGGAGGAGAAATGTTTGACTTTGAGCTCTTTACTGAATTTCGTTCATTTCTTCAAGTTGTGTGATCTTGGCTATGTGGGAGCCACTTTCCTTGTTTCCATGTAATGAGAATGTGGTTTGACCTGTTCGTGTATGAATCCAGTTTTATTTTTCAAGCTTAATGACTTGATTCTTTCCCATGTATGAATCCAGTTTTAGTTTTCAAGCTTAATGACTTGATTCTTTCTTGAGTAATAATTACTATTTTTTTCATGTATTATTTCGGTTATGTTCATGGAATGTTAAATCAAGTATTGAACGTTAACCAAACAGTCAAGCAGATCTCCAGAAGAGAAGGGACACTTAGAAGAAGTTTTAATTATTTGAAGTTTAATTAAAACTAATTTTGTCTGGTCTTTAATTAGGATTGTAAAATATATAGTCTCAAAGTCTCAGGCATCTCCTCAGAGGTGGAATTGACAATTCTCAGTTGTTTTGCAACTTCAGTTTGGGTTATCCAGCCTGACTGTAGTTAGTCCCTGTTGAAATAGCAGCTCTGATGCTCCTGTGGCTAGGTATTCTCACTGTCCTTGTTGAGGCAATTAACTTTTTGTTGCTGTTGAATTCATTTTCCAATGTTTCAGCAAGCTGATTTGACTCGGGTTACATGAGATTTAGGTGCACCACATCAATACACCTGCAAGTCGAGAGGGATAACACGACTATTCTTCTTAGCCTGCAGTTTGGTTGAAAAGGGTCTCTATTCACACCCAAATAAGGCTGTAGGGGGGGTGCATCTTTCAGAACGATGCCCATGCTGTATGTAGTTCAACCTGTGTTTTTCATGCACTGCTGATTCAAGCAGTTCCTCTCCCTGGCTGCGGAATGGTGATGGTGCGTCATACCTTCGTTGCTCTGATGCCAGTGCGTGTGAGGCAGCACAGTAAACAGGCTCAGGGAACAGGTCTGGCTGTGAAGATGCTTTCCCTCATTCATTTGCTGGGCTGGTTTCCTAAAGTGGGTTGCAGTTCAGCTGCATGAATGCCTGTCTGCTCACAGTATAGGAGCTGGTGCAGAGGTAGGAGTAAGTAGCAGAGAATGGGAATCCCTGTATGTTTAATACAATTTAAATAAGAGGAAATGGGAAAGGAAATCAGAGACCTTGGGCACAAAAAGTATTATATTTTTTTGGAAGACCTAAGTCCTAAAATAAAGAATTTCTTTGTTTTGCTCCATCAATGTGCTTAGAAGGGCTTTTGAGTGCAATATTGTTTTTTGGGGGAAAAAATCAACTTTTTTTTAAAAAAATAATATTTATTCTAAAGAGAAATGCCATACATCTCACTGTCGTCCCACTGAACCCTGCTTTTAAAGAGGCTCCATCTTGGAACTTTTTCCACTGTAGCACATAAAGTTTAAGCTAGACAATCTCAAGAATAAAATGGTTTACTATGTCAGGGAAAGTTTAAGCTAGACAAGAATAAAATGGTTTACTATGTCAGGTGCTGCTGCATCATATACTTCTGTTTTGTGCTCACTGTCCTTAGAACAATATGAAAAATTTATGACAAGAGACAGGGGAGGAGTGTAGGGAGGAGTGTTGAGTGTATATATGAAGCAAACTGTAGATATTCCTGTAACGGATCAAGCTGGAGGCAGTACACAAATTTTAGAATACTGATCGCTGTATTTTCCACGGAATACAGAACAGTTTGGAGATGACACTATAAAGTCAGTTTGAAGATCATGAGAAGTTTTGAAATAACAGAAAGTTATAAGCATTTATTTTCCAGTACCCATTTTGAGTGTTAACACTAATGTGTTTTTCAAAGTTGGCTAAATGGTTCTTAATTAATGCGGGGGGAGATGATAGAATGTTAAAGTTCCCAACTTGGAGAAAGGGCATTAAAACATCCTTTCTTTTTTTTCATAAGCTTTAAACTTTTTATGAGAACACTATGCTTGCTTGTTCTGGCTGCAGTACAGGAGAGGTCAGTGTAACAAGGACCTCCCAGACCTATGCCTGTTGAGAAGGTCCTCTGAAGAAACCAAGGCTTCAGTGCAGAAATACACTCAGCAGTCTCTGGATAAATATGGGTGATTCATTCAGCAATCCCCTCATAGTGTGGTCACTTGCATTGAGACACTGAAATGTACAGGACAAGTATGAAAAGAAGATTATCAGAATTTTGCTGAGGCACTGAAATGTACAGGACAGGTATGAAAAGAAGATTATCAGAATTTTGGTAGCCTATAACCCTTTTGAGACAGTGAGGGTTGCAGCTGATACGTAGTTTTAATAGTAGCAAAGATTGGATTCTATAACCCTTTTGAGACCGTGAGGGTTGCAGCTGATATGTAGTTTTAATAGTAGCAAAGATTGGATACTTTCGGAAGAATCTTACATTGTAGTTCAAAGTGTAGTTGCAAAATGTTGTTTAGAAATCAGAGAAGAATCTTACATTGTAGTATAGTTGCAAAATGTTGTTTAGAAATCAGTAACCTTGTATTTTTAGGTAGAGGAGGCTCTGAATTTGTTAAAGAACTTGGACTCAGACTATTGAACTTCAAGACTTTATGTTAGATTGCCAGCAGTCTGTCTCCCTCCTTGCCAAGTGATGTGATATATATGTTTAAATAAATCGTACACATCATTGGAATTGGAAGTGTGTCATTTGTACCCTTGAAGATGAAAAAAGCAAGTGAATGAAAATAATGCTTTCTTGTCAGCTAAAATATCTGAAGTATAGATGACATCCCTTCAGCAGCCGGGACTGCAGATATGGCAGCTGCTCAACTGCTGCTTAGTGGGAGGATTGCAGCAATGCATTCTCTTGTTCAAGAGAGAATGGTGTCTGGAGATGACATGACTGGGTTGAAGAAACAACCTAGGAAAATGGAAGGTTCCTTCTGCCTGTGGAGCCAGGGGCAGTTTTTTGTATCCGTGCAAGCTTTTGGGTTAATGAAGGGAATGGAATGCGAGTAGGTCTCAGTGGTGTGCAGAGAATTGGAGCGAGAAACAGCGAAGGGAGCAAAACATGATTGAGTATCCTGTGCATTCTGGAAGATGAGTAGAGAGAACTAGGAATAAGAAACTTAAAGAAGTGATACAGAAGAGACTGCTTGTACATACACATTTTTGTTTCATGTTTAACTACTTGCAAGGTGCTTGAGACTGAGAGTTCAGAAAGTGCATGTTTGGTCTTGGCTGATATACATAAGGAAAAAAAATCCCATGAAGTTGTTGCATATGTCTTGTTCCAGCACTGCAGTGCTCAAACAATGCTTGTTCTTGCAGGGCGTAGTTGTTTGGCATGCTGCTTTCTGTTTGCCAGTAATTGTTAGTGATACCACAGCTGTCCCCATGGTGACAGGAAGTCCAGTGCTTTAACTTAATTCTTTGGAGTTCCAGCTAGTGACCTCCAATTTCCCCATTAGATCCTCATGACTAGCTCACAGATTGTGATCTGGAGGATCTGTATTTCCATATACAGCTCAGAGATTCTATGACCAAATCCAAGGATATTCGTATGAAGGTCATTCACAACTCAGGTAAGTAGAGATGCTTTCCTGGCAGTGGTGTGCCCCTAAATGTCCCCCACAAGGGTGGGAAATTACAGAATAACAGTGAGAATAGCAGTAAGTGTGCATGGGTATCCAGTTAGGTTTGCACAACAGTATTTCTTTTCCCAGCAAAGGCCTAGATGTCTGAAAGTTGCCCACAGAAGAGCAGGGGCGGTGCTGGAAAGCATGTGTGGAAGGAGAGCGGGAAAAGAAACAAGCTGCAGAACAAGAATATGCTCAATTCCTAATCACTGGCTCAATTCATAATCACATTTTGTTTGGAACATCTTGATTTCATGACAGAATCTGGTCCTTTCTAGAACAGATAAAATATTTCTCAGTTGGTTTGGCAACTTTGTTGTGATCTGAGAAGTCAAGGATGGTCCCGAACACTGACTTGTTAAAGAATAATTCAAACACTAACCAACTCCTGATCAAATGAGCCTAAATTTCTTTTCCCCTGTGAACCTCAAAAGCAATGTTTAAATGCTTCAAACAATAATGAGCTGATGAATCATTCTCAACATACAAAGGCTCTTTCTGGACACCAGGCAAAAGGCTTAATGAATGCAGAGTAAGAAACAAATCCATTGATTTTAATCCCAGAAGATATTCATCCCTCATTGAAGCTGATGGGGAAAGAGCAACGATGCTGGCGAAAGTCTTTTCTATTGATAGTGGAGAGCCTGTGTTGTAAATGGTCCCATACAATGTCACAGAGCTTGGAACCTTTTTGTTAGACCAGTCCTACCTCAGCTTATGATTTTTAGTTTTTTTTTTTTTTTAATTCTTCTCGTGTGATGCCATATCAGTTGTTGAGGACTTGTTCCAAGGGCTGCTTGAATACTGCACAGGTGATACCTGCCAGGAGATGCTGAAAGCCAGAGTATTGTGTATCAAAGCAGAGAAGCGATAAAACCAATTTGTAAAACCAGTAAGAGGTAGTTCACTTGCTATACCCTGTCTTTGTGTGGTTCATCTGAATTGTTTGGTAATACGGAATGAAAGGCAATTTTGTACTGAGAGCAGTTTCCTTTTACTTCAGCCTGTGGTTACATCTTGCTTTCTTACCCTCCAGATATTGTGACCTTTCATACTTGTTACCCTTCCCAAGTTGCAGACCATAGAGGACTTTGTATGAGCTAAAGCTCAGGCATGTGTGCTTTACTGCTTTTGAGTTTCTGAGCTGCTCTGGTTCAGAATCGTAGAAGTCTTCAAGACAGATTTTAGAAAGATAATCAAATGTGCAGAGAAGACAGACACCGCAAGTACCTTTACAGAAGGAAAAGCTGCTGTTTGTGCATGAATAGACCCCAAAATACTTGCATGGAAAGGTATCTTAAAGTTGTAATTGGAAAAGAAGTCTAAGGTGGGGCTTGTAGTCAGGAAACAGAAGCATAGGAAAACAAGGTATATCCAGAATTAATTTCTTACTTCTTTCAGGCATTACTTTTTAGATGGTGATTTTGATTCTGGTTTCATATAGCTTGACAATCCAGAAAATAACATTAAAGGAAAGAGCTTGTGAGAAGCCTTGACATTATCATAAAACCTATTTTTTTTGCTTTAACTGATAACTTACTTAAACAATCTGTTTTCTCATCCTAAGCTGTAGATGCAGTCATTCTTTGCCAATATATTAATTTAAGCCAGTGATACCATCCACTTATATTTCCTATTCTCTGTTTTAGCATGTAATAAAATTGTGCCAAGTAAGTTGTACTAACTCGGAACCAAGTTTTATACCTCCTGTTCAAATGGATGGCTTGTTATTGAAATCTGCTTAATTGTATAGTTGCTTCTGATCCTAGGTTTTATGGGGACCTTATTTGTCTAGTTTCCTATGGAAACAAGGCTCATGTGATCCTGTCTGTGTGGGCATATCCAGTCAGATTTTTTTGGGCTGCTGTCTAGTGTGGACAATTACGACAGATAAAGATCTTGAGGAAACAGAGTGATCCAAGAAAATATGGTTCCAAGTTCTGTGAAAATAAACAGCTAAGAGAGGGAAGGAATTCTGGTCACAGGTTCATGGAGAAAATTTTGCAATGTATGTCTTACTAGAAATCAAAGAGGACAAGCTGTTATGAATGCCTGAGCTTGAGGTGGGTGTTCCTTTGACAAATGGTTGTTCCATTTGCATCTTCATGGGCAGCAAATTGAGTTAACTACAGGATGTGAAAACGCAGGTTCTGGCGTTCCTAGTGAACTAATATAGGAAATTTAAAAATGAAATCTTGTAACAGTGTGCAGGATAGGTAACAGTGAAAAAAGTGCCCTGACTTGTTAGAAGAATTTAGTCTGATAACTTCCGATCGTGTTTTTGTTTCTATGTTAGTGGATATTGTCCTCTCCTCTAGCTTCTGTTCATAGCTGGGAAATTCGTCCCAATTCCAGTAGTGTTTTGAACTTCCTTTGTTTTCTCTTTGTTTGGGTTTGGTTTGTTGGGGGACTTTTTTAACCTTTTTTTTTTTTTTTTTTTTTGTAACTTTCAAATGAGAAATTAAGCTTTGCTAGCTTAACACAAGTTGACACATGGTGTGGTCTGAACAGCTAGGGAAGACAGCATTAGCTTCTCTCAGTTATTTTCTTTTGGGAGTTTGGAAAATGATGTAATGACCTTAGTGCACGAGCTAAGTAGCCAGATTGAAGTAAGCTCTTAGTGTCTGGGAAACTTTTGAAACCATGGGTTTTGTTTAGGTTTTGTAGCTGAAAATACAAAAATATTGCGTTTCTAATATTTATTGTCTTCTATTTTAAGACAGGAACTGAAAAATCTGAACTGCTCTGGTATATGTAAATAAATTTGATTCATTCCAAACATATCCTGGTAACTTTGTCTTAATAAAAATTTTGAAGGAATTATCAGGTCTTTAATTGAATCTTTAAATTATCTTTAGGTTAAGATACAGTCATGTATCATGCTTTTTGGATTTATATGTCTAATATATTTGAAATATATTCTAAAAATTATTTAGTGCTGTGTTTTTATAATATCTACTGCTTGTGTTTCAACAGGTAGCACTACTGGGATTAGATGTTTTAGGTGCCTTTGTCAACAGACTATCAGGACGTTTTAAAGCCTATATAGGAACTGGTAAGTGAAATACAACTTTTTTCTCAAGATCACAAAGTAAAATCTACATCCCCCCTCCCCTAGCAGTTGAAGTAGAACATGTTGAAAGCTTTCTGAGCTAATTATAATATACTGGTAGGCATCTTAGTGATGTTGTTGGAATTGAAATAATTTTACAGTAACATGTCAGTATTAATTTGTCCTGCAATCACTGTTCTCTAGGTGGTTGTTGGGATTTTTTTAAAGGTTCCAGGAATATCTTTCCAGTAATTAGTTTCATGGTGTATAGTTGCTTACCGTTCCCCAAGACAGTACTCTAGGATTTACGTTGAAACATTAGTGTTATCTTTAACTTGTGTTAAAGACTGAAGGCTTTATTTGCAGGTCATTTTAATTAGAGCTTTATGTCTGCTGAAGCCTGTGGTCTCAGAGGATTATGTGGCCCACCTCCTGTTTGATAAGTGCATTGTAGCTTTTAGTAGTCTGAAGTTTTTATGGGATGAAAAAAAGTACTGAGTTTTACTCCTTTGTGAAATGTTTACTCCAGTGAATTCTACATTTGGCTGAGTATGAGAGAGTTGTTCAGCAAGGTACAAGCAAACTATGCTGATCAGCCTATTTTGCTGCTTTCCTTGAAAAGAGTGATATTAGGGCATTAACATTGGTATAATATCACAATTTTTGAGAAAAGTTTCTAGCTTTATGTCCTTTTCCAAAATTTGTGAGAGTTACCTTCCCAGATCCCCAGCTATCTCAAATTGTCTGTCAAAAATTCAAGCTTCCTCTTCTTTACCTATCTACTTCTGTATTTAAGAATTAAGAAATAGAATTTGAAAGCTTAGGAATATAGTTTGTGACAAGTTAGTAACTAAATTCATTGGAAGAGCATTTCAGGATGCTGTGGAACTACTGCAGTAGAGTGCTATGGAATTGAAGTCTAGTTTGTTGCAGAGCATTTTTCTTTGGTTAATTTTGTGTTGGAGCAGTGCAAGGGAACTGGAGGCGTATTGTGCTGTGCACAATAGTGATTTCTAAATAGTCTCCATTTATAGCTACAAACAGTGCTAGGCTTCAGAGTTTTACTCTGTTTTGATTTATATTTTAATGGTGTCTAGAACTTAAAATTAGAAGATTGGGATCATCTTCAGTTTTTGTCAGTGAAACAGCAATACGAAAGCTTTATTGTAAGCGTCTGGAGTTTGTATAGACCAGGGTTTATGAGAGTAATTAAAGGCATGGTGAACAACAAAACTGCTTCCTTCAATAAAACTTAAGGAACCAGCAGTTTCCTAAGTCACAGTCTGTTGACTGTGCAGATTTATCTTCTAACGTAATCTGAGAATGACTCCAGTAAGTCAAACCAAAGATTTGCATCTGACAGTGATCCATTCTCAGATTCCTGAGAAGAAAATAGCAGGACAAACATGCAGCGATAACTCCTTCAGTAGGAGTTGTCAGCAGTTTAGGGCCAGCTGAGGCAGATGGTATCTAAGTCTCCCTTGTTGCCCTGTTTTCCTACAGCTTTATCAGGTTTGGTTTTGACCCACATAGACCTTTGGGCTCTACAGTGTTCTGTAGAAATACTTAATTATATAAAACTCTTTTGGACTGGTTGTCTGAATATCTTGGTACTTGCTAGATCTTGTGTGAGAAGTGAGCCAACATTTCTTACCTTCTTGACAGCCAGTCCCCATTTTACATATCTCTTCCATGTCTGTCCTCTGCTATGCTTTCTGCCAAAACTGAACACAGGATTTGAGATGCAGCCTCATCAGTGCCAAGTACAGGGAAACAATCACGGCCCTAGTCCTGCTGGCCACACTGTTGTTGATACAAGCCAGGGTACTATTGGCCTTCTTGGCCACCTGGACACACTGCTGGCTCATACCCAGGCAGCTGTTGACCAACACACTTACGTCTTTTTCTGCCTGGCAACATGCTAGAAGCTTTTCCACCAGCCTGTAGTGCAGCATGGGGTTGTTGTGACCCCAAGTGTAGGGCCCATCACTTGGCCTTGTTGAACTTCATACAACTGTCCTTGGCCCATCAATCCAGCCTGTCCAGATCCCTCTGCAGAGCCTTTGTGCCCCCCAAGTTGGTGTTATCTCCAAACTGAGGGTGCATTCCATCCCCTTGCCCAGATCATGGATAAAGATGTTAGACAGAACTGGCTCCAATACTGAACTGTCAGTAACACCACTTGTGACTGGCTGCCAGCTGGATTTAACTCCATCCACCACCACTCTGTGGGCTCAGCCATCCAGCCAGTTTTTAAGCAAGTGAAGAGTGCACCCATCCAGGCCATAAGTAGCCTGTTTCTCTAGATGGAGGCTGTGGCAGTACTTTTAGTTGAGGTTTTAGACGTAACCTCTTTGTTACATTTGGATGATGAAAATTGCTCAGAAGTAGGAAGAATTAAGCTTCCCCCAAAAAACTTCTACAAAATTCCCTTTTGGCGAGAATCAGCTTTCTATACAAACTGCCATTTTAGTGTGTCTTGGTTATGTCCAGTTAAGTGATTATTAGACTATAATTATATATTATAGACTATATATAGATCGCTATAGACTATAGTGAAGTTCTTATTTATTGAAGCAAGTTATTGTAGGTACTTGCATTCTCACAGAAGATCAGGGTTGTACCACATGTATAGCAAAAGAAGATGTATATGTAAAATACCTACCTTCTCTGTTCTTGGTCTTTTTTAAAGTACAATGAATCCTATTTTCTAGATGAAGTTTTGTTTTTATAGCTGTTTTTAGCCATAAAATACCTGGAACCTTAAATTAATTTTCATTTTAATAAAAAGTATTCCATTTTGGTGACTCTGAGATGTTTTTATTCAAGATTCAGAACTCAGTAAATGATGAAAGTATGATAATGTATTGTCATGGCAAAACATATTCCACTCCCTCACTTCATCCCCATTTAATTTCCTATGCTTTTATGATGGGTATAGATTTCCTTAAGCGCAGAGAACAAGTAATGTGACTGAATATTCATCCCCATAAACATTACAGGCTTTTGCTCTGAAGTAAAAAATACAAAAGCTTTTCTGTTATTTCAGTTTTTACATATATGCCTTAAATTGCATTTGGGCAAAATCAATACAATAGCTCTAGGACAGATGTTTTCCAGTATTCTGAAGAGCAGGTAGTGGTCTTTGTATTGAAGTATAATGCCTGATAAGAGACTTAATTCAGTTTCCTAGGCAACAATCTAATGTTGCAGTAAATTTCTTCTAAGGTGTTATCCTTTTATGATTAACCACCTTGCACATAGCTGGCATCAGTGTTCTGGCAATCTGGACACACCAATTGGGAATCTTTCTTTTAGCAGCTCTAGTTAAGATTCTCAAAAATACTTAGAAAGCAATAAATATCAAGGTATGTGTTTGTTCACAAGACTAAGTATCTGTATTCTGGGAAAAGCAAATCAGTGTTTGAGTGTTGCATCTTTTGGCATTTAAAACTGCTTGTTCTGTGATTAAAAGAGATTACATAAGAGTACATAATTACCCTGTCACAATCTCTTTTCCCAGGTGATGTCATTAATTAAAGAATTATATATCAGAAATAAAAGAGACTATTACAATTATGGGCATATGTGTCAGCATGCTAGAATTTCTGGGAAAGGTCTCAAGTCATACTTGTGGTTTTGTTTCCTAGAAGAACTGAATATTAATTTGCAATTTTGTTGTTGTCATAAGGAATTGGGAAAAGAAAAAATATAATAAAGATATATAGAATCTGTTTCAGTTTTAATGTATAGTGTAATGACATATTTTTCTGCATATACTGAACTGTCAATTAGTCTATTATATAACTATATTGTCATTTGCTTTCACATAAAGTCTAACAAGATGTTGCAAAATATATTTTACTTATCTGCAAATTAAAGGAAATGTATTGACAGTTAAAAAGACCAAACACAGGTACACAGGTTATATTTGTATGTGTACATATACGTATAAGTCTGAATATGGATACACATTTTGCACACAAACTTCATATGTGAATGTGTGTATATGTTTAATAGTAGCAGTTTCAAATTCTTCTTACTGTAAAAAAACCACTAGGCAGAAATAATTTTGGAAGATAGCTGTAGTGCCATATACTATGATCTAAAACTAATTGGAAGTGTTTAAATTTTTACCAAGTAGCTTCAAGAACTGATGGAAAAACCTTTAAATTAGACACCTTTTATTACTGGACAGAATAATTTAAATGCTCTGTCAAATTAACTGTTATAACTAAGCATGCAAATGTGGCTTCTCATGACCTGGATGGGTGCACTCTTTGCTGCCTTACAAACTGGGTGGATAGAGTGGTTGTGGATGGAGTTAAGTCCAGTTGGTGGCTGGTCACAACTGATGTTCACCAGGGCTCAGTTACTGAGACCAGTTCTCTTTAATATCTTTATCCATGATCTGGACCAGGGAATGGAATGTACTCTCGGTCAGTTCGGAGCTAACACCAAGTTAGGTGGGAATGTTGGTCTGCTGGGGGGTAGGAAGGCTCTGCAGAGGGGTCTGGTCAGGCTGGATTGATGGGCTGAGGCTAATTGTATGAGGTTCAGCAAGGCCAAGTGCTGGGTCTTGTGCTTGGGTCACAGCATCCCCATGCAGAACTGCAGGCTGGCACAGAGTGGCTGGAAAGTTGCCCCATGGAAAAGGACCTGGTCAACAGATGACTGAACATGAGCCAGCAGTATGCTCAGGTGGCCAAGAAGGCCAACGGGCATCCTAACCTGGATCAGCAATGAAGTGGCAAGCAGGACTAGGGAACCAATTCTTTTCCTGTACTTGGCACTGGTCTGGTCACATGTCAAATACTGTGTCCATTTCTGAGCTCCTTAATTCAGGGAAGACATTGAGGTGCTAGAGCATGTCCAGAGAAGGGCAGTGGTGCTGGTGAAGGGTCTGGAGCACAAGTCTCCAGGAGGAGCAGCTGAGGGAGCAGGAGTTGTGGAGTCTGGAGAAGAGGAGGCTCAGGGAGAAGAGAGATGTTATGGCACTCTAC